CATGCAAATTGAGCTTCTTTCAGACAGAAAGTTGTGAGGTTCAGCCTTCATGCTGGTGGGGGACTAAGCACGCCATCTTTCACCCCCAGCATCACTCTTGCAGACACCCTCATTTCATTAGGAAAGGTGGTTTCATCCAGCAGCTGACTCAGTGTACTGCAGAGCGCCTGTGTGCACAGCCACCCGTGTCTCTCTGGGTGAGAAGGGCCTTCAGTGCACGCCCATCTCCATGCAGACCGGGGGCTCCGGCGAGCACTGCTGGGCCACTGTGTCCTCCCCAAGCCTGTGGTGGCTCCTGCTTGTCATGAAACACCCTGCATTTAAGGCATTTCACAGTGGGCAAATTGGGAATGCACAGGTTGTGGGCAAAGCTGTGAAGGCTGCTTAGCCCAACTTACTCATGGGGAAACTGAGGCTGGGGTGAGACCGTTCATCGAGATGCCGTGAAGAAGCTGGAGCTGAGCTTCTACCCCAGCCCACTTGCTCTTCAGAGTCAACACCACCTTAGGTGCCGTGTTTGTCTTCAAGGATCAAGGGTTTGCCTTTAACTATGTTTAACTATAGCCATAACTATACGTCCACACACAAATTTTTTCCTTCCAAGGTTGGCCTCCTCCAGTTTTCTCATAACATACCCAGGGAATTTAGCCGGCATCAGCCCAGTGTAGGTGAACCAGGATCGCATCTTGGCTTGCACTGTCCACACACGGCTCTCACTGTCATCAGCTGAACACACCCCACGCTTGCTCCAGCAGAGACCCAGTTCTGCCATTTGTATCCCAGCATCCTAAAAGGTTTAGAAAGTTTGCGCTAAAGCCCTTTGTTTAAATACCCTATAAAATAAAGCTTGTTGCAGGGATTTTTTTTTTTATCATAATGAGTAGGACCAATTCAAAAATAGTCCAATGTAAGAAATACAGATATGTATAATAGAGTAAAACTTCTAAAATAAGAAAGTTTTAGAAGGATGACTCCGAGTAATCATGACACCAACATGCATAAAGATGAACACACAGACCGACAATAAACCAAGCTGAACTACTCA